GATTTAACATAAAGCGCTCACAAGGAGGAAAAAACAAGCGTAACAAAAGGAGAACTTAAGATTAACTTAAGTTTACAAAAAAAACATAACAAAATAACAAAACCTGACTAGACTGGAAAAGACCTTTCTTAGTTGAAGCTTGGCACGAGCATCCATGGAACCAAACAAGACGAGCTGACACAGGACAGGGGAGAGACAGGACTATTAGTGAGTGGGAACAGGTGGAAACAATCAGGGGCGGGGCAGACACTGATGATGGCGGGAAAAACACACAGGGGGAGGAAGAAACAGGGCCTGCAATGAAAGACAAGAGGTAAGTACAAAATAAAACAGGAAATGACAAAATACATCAACAAAACTAACAGACGAGACACAACAAGAAAGGCCACATCCAAGGCTTTATCTGAAAAGGAAAAGTCCTTCTTCCAAATCTTTCTTTATGCGATCAAGTATTGTTTGGTAATTAAACCTGAGCAGCGACACACTTTTGCTTTACACATTAGACTCAACAAGAACCTTATCCTAAAAACACTGCACGAGTGGCCATTTAGAGACATACACCGAGAAGATTGCTCTGGGAATAGCTCTCGTTCCCACACCGCCTGAACTCCCCTTTGTTGTCTTAAGTGCTGCAGATATGATCAGTCGATTCGTGGCCAGTTGTCCCAGTCTTAGCTAGAGTCTGCAGCGCGGTATCCCTGATCTTACCAGATGAGGGAAGGAAATGGATACGCTGTTTTCTCTGTATCTACCTCCAGCCTTTGAAAGCACACACGGTGCTGTTTCATTCCCCTAAAGCCGGCAAACAGAAGAAAGACCAGGTCATGTATGTGTTTATCAGCAAATCAATATTTGTATGACCACAAGAGACATACTGTTCTCACCGTTAAATGAATCAATATTTCTCCTTCACCAGGAACATAAAATCATCTGTTGTCGGTGTTCAGATTCTCATCTCACGCCAACGTTTTCCGTGGGTACTTTTCTTGTTCATGTAGCAAAGGAGGTGAAGGAGTGAGTCCTAAAACAAGGGAATGAGTCAGCGTTTTACCACTTCCTGTCCCCTCGTCTGGATATCAATGTTTTTTTAAACATGCTTTTGGTTGTCGGTTGGTTGGTTTTGGTTGCCTGAAATAGTTTCAACACAAGCTGAAGAGGTTTTAAGGTTTTGCTCTACGACATAAAAAACGTCAGTAAATACCCCCATGGTGAATGTAAAAAAGTTGGTTGCTAACAAGTGTCTAAATGAGACGACTAAACGTCATCACACCCAACATTAGCCGCCTTTAGCTTAGCGGTGGTGACGTGAAGTCATGTGACCGTGCTGTAGTTCCTTTATAGCCCAACATTAGCCACCTTTAGCTTAGCGGTGGTGACGTGAAGTCATGTGACCGTGCTGTAGTTCCTTTATAGCCCAACATTAGCCACCTTTAGCTTAGCGGTGGTGACGTGAAGTCATGTGACCGTGCTGTAGTTCCTTTATAGCCCAACATTAGCCTCCTTTAGCTTAGCGGTGGTGACGTGAAGTCATGTGACTGTGCTGTAGTTCCTTTATAGCCCAACATTAGCCTCCTTTAGCTTAGCGGTGGTGACGTGAAGTCATGTGACCGTGCTGTAGTTCCTTTAGAGCCCAACATTAGCTACCTTTAGCTTAGCGGTGGTGACGTGAAGTCATGTGACCGTGCTGTAGTTCCTTTAAAGCCCAACATTAGCCGCCTTTAGCTTAGCGGTGGTGACGTGAAGTCATGTGACCGTGCTGTAGTTCCTTTAGAGCCCAACATTAGCTACCTTTAGCTTAGCGGTGGTGACGTGAAGTCATGTGACCGTGCTGTAGTTCCTTTAGAGCCCAACATTAGCTACCTTTAGCTTAGCGGTGGTGACGTGAAGTCATGTGACCGTGCTGTAGTTCCTTTAAAGCCCAACATTAGCCGCCTTTAGCTTAGCGGTGGTGTCGTGAAGTCATGTGACCGTGCTGTATTTCCTTTATAGCCCAACATTAGCCGCCTTTAGCTTAGCGGTGGTGTCGTGAAGTCATGTGACCGTGCTGTAGTTCCTTTATAGCCCAACATTAGCCGCCTTTAGCTTAGCAGTGGTGACGTGAAGTCATGTGACCGTGCTGTAGTTCCTTTAGAGCCCAACATTAGCTACCTTTAGCTTAGCGGTGGTGACGTGAAGTCATGTGACCGTGCTGTAGTTCCTTTAAAGCCCAACATTAGCCGCCTTTAGCTTAGCGGTGGTGTCGTTGGTTATAATGACAAAGTGTATCCACCAAAGGAAAACAAAACCCTCCATGAATATCTTTCTTAAAAGCTTCCAATTTGCCCAACATTAAACAAACAAACTCTTAAACACTTTTCACCACCATGCCTATTTAATGCATTCATGCAGGATTACACAGGGTTTATACCAGGACCGATTCCACAGAATAATGGTGATGTGTGCAGTGGAGGAAAGACACGCCGCTGTGACTGCCTCTAATCAGTCAAGCTTTCTACATCTATGAAATCGTCGCCTCGTGAAGCGGCGCTGTCTCTTTGTGCTGCCAGGATGCTTAGCTACCTGTCTTTGAACAGGCGAGTTCTTCCAAAGACTTCCCATGAATCTCCTGGAGAGAATCGGGCCGAGACTGCCTCGATCGAGCTGAAGGCTCAGCGGGATTTCTCCGTGGAGCTCCGGCTCACGATTATTCCTGCTTTGCTTCCATGCTGCACATCACTGAAGAGAGATTTACATTTAATCGTGTCACATTTAAAAACCCATCCCATGTCCTGACATTCGGGTTCACACATGCACGTTTCGCATCGAGCATCTGATTACAGATTTGAACACTTTTCCGTGAATACGCAAGCATTTTAATTTGCCTGCAGGATGAATCACACAGCAGGTGTTCCTCTGTACTCTTTCTGAATCTCACCTGTGCCACTGTAGCTGAGGCTGAGGCTGAGGCTGAAGCTGAGGCTGAGGCTGAGGCTGAGGCTGAGGCTGAGGCTGAGGCTGTAGCTGAGGCTGTGGCTGAGGCTGAGGCTGAGGCTGTGGCTGAGGCTGAGGCTGAGGCTGAGGCTGAAGCTGAGGCTGAGGCTGTAGCTGAGGCTGTGGCTGAGGCTGAGGCTGAGGCTGAGAGTTAAGTCTAGAGAAAAGGATATTCTTTGATTTGTGGCATCGTAAATCATCTGCCAGGAGAAGCAGGATGGGGTAAACGAGAACCAGAGCTCCCTGCAATGACTCTGTAAGGCGCCTTAATAAATCCTCAGATAGTGCTACTGATATACTGAGGATCATCTTACCCCAGACTAATTACCAATGCAAATCATTCATTCTTGAGAACATATTACGTTTGATAATTAGATCATTTTCCACACAGTTACCTTAGTTTGTATTTGAATGCTGTTACAGGGTGTCTGTGGCAGGCATTGCCTCGCTTTGATTTCGTCAGATATTAGATAAAGAGCTGTTGATTTTCAAAGGAACAAGATTCATTATTAGCTTTTACTTTGGAAAGGTTTCTGGCAAACTGTATAGCTTCATATGACCTCCTCTGACAACCCCACTTTAACCTGTTAGACCCCAAGCCTGTTTTTCAGGTTTCAGGCTCGAAAATGACATGCCCAGAACAAATGACTATAACTTCACTTCTAAAAGGGTTAAATTAATAATCTTTTTTCTCAAAGCAAGGTTACATCTGTGAGATGGATGTAAACGTGTCAGAATCAATATAGATGTTTCTGTGTGAGAGTACATTCAGATGGAACATAGTAAAAAAGGTAAATTCTTACCTCCGCCTAACAAAAACCCATTACTTATAGTGAAAACCACCCTTGAATGATGGGTTAGTAGCCTAAAAGCTTTAGGAATCCAAACTATAACATATAATAAGTACCCTGTATCAAGATTGAGGCAAAACAAGTGAAAATTGACCTTTTTAGAGAGATTTAGGGAAAAAAAGTCCAGGCGGAATAAGCTTTGGGCACATTTGGGCACATCTGGTTTACTATTAAGTGAACATTAAGTTGTTCATGGTAAATTGTACCCTAACTAGAAGATAAAGGTCCAACTAAAATGGTCAGAAACGCAAACAAGAACCACTCGAAGTCCAGATCTACAGCGAAACCTGGCTTATCGGTATAGCTTGTAGCCCATTTCATTCCAGTCTAAACTGGTATCGTAAGGATTAAAAAGACCCTAACTCTACACCAAACACCAAAGTGAATTTTTCAGAAACCAGAGATTAGTGTTAAAAGTAAAAATATGACTTTAAAGAAAGTGTAAATCGTCTTTGAAGAAAGGGATAATATTTGCGCCACTGGATTTATTTTGTATGCTAACAATTTATTATCGTTTAGCTCAATTAAGGTCTTTTTACTGCTGTAGATGTTCATCAGAATAATATGGATAGTGCACTTGAGTAACCATGGTTCAAGTTTTAGGAAAGACAGATACTGAAGAGTGGAAGAGCAGGATTTCCACTTTCTATAAAATTGCCAGAATACAATAAAATACTATTTTGCTAATAGTAGTGTTCTGAATACATGATGTTGTTGATTGAGTAAATATCCCCAGCTTTGCTATATGCTTGCTACTTCCTTAGAGGGTCAGCAATGGTAATGAAGTCCACAAACACCCGCCTCTTTCTCGCATAATGAGAAGCCAACTGAATATATGACAAATGCACGTCTGATTGCACCGTTAGAAAAGCCTTCTGTGTATAATATAACCCTAACAAGTGAGCCCGCTAACAAGCAGACAGTTCAACAATGTCCCTGTAGAGAATCTAGACCCTTAACCCATATGCACGCAGATGTTGCACTCTAGTGAGCACAGAAATATCATCCCAGAATTTCATTCATAGAGGGTATGCTGGGAAAATATCTGTTCTTTTGAGCAGGCGAAGCAATTTGATTTTGAGCCTTGCCTTATTGTGCTTTGCCCTCTTGTCAACATTCTTCTCGCTGCACACAGAAACTAATGTATATTCTGTTTCCATCTTCTTTCTCTTTACCCAGCCGCCATCCAGGTGCAGATCACGCCAACACAGGGAGAGATCAGCGTGGGAGAGTCCAAGTTCTTCCTCTGCGAAGGTAAGAGTGACGTCAAGCAAACCTCAGTCAACCTCATGCAAATGTATGAACTTACTGGCAGAATTCATTTAGATAATAATGATAGAAGTTAGTTTATCTAACAATACTAAAGGATGAATTGTCTTTTCTGTGGATGTAATGGGAAGTTAGGCTCACACAGAGGTGGAAAAGAGAAGCAGTATGAAGAGATAATGAGGAAAGGTCTTTCGTTGTGTTCACTGCTTGAGTGAACATTTGCAGGTGTCAGCTTCTCTGAGATACAGGTGGTATTTGCATTATGGGGGTCAGCTGTCTGACATCAAAGAACATTTTCTACACGATTAAAAGCATGCCAGTCATTGGGTCACAGTTATAATCACACTCTCACTGCAGAATATGTACATTAACGGCTCTTTTCAACCAAATTACAAAATGAAATGGTACCTAGAAATGCAGTTTGTCTCATCCACTGTAAAACTAAGGAAATATATTTCCTTAAACTGAGCGACCTGACTCTTAAAAATGGACATTACCATGTGGGCAATGGCCCATTACCTTTTAAAGCAGACTTTGTTGCAAATTGCATCAAGAAAAGTTAACGAACCAATAAGAACATTTGAAAAGGTTTATTTGTAATGTTAGTATTGAATAAATGAATGGTCCGGGGATGAAAGTCTTTAAAACATACGCCTACTTACTCCCAAATGATCCGAAAATGTGCATGCACTCACTCAACACATTTTTGTCTTTTTCCGGACCCTTCGTAATTACCTACTCTACCAACTGACCTCAGACCGATCCCACTCGACAATTTAGAAATCTTAAAAACCACATTTCACCACAAAGTGACACCCTTTAAAATCACTGTATATTTAAAAAAAAGTAACTCCAGACCTGTTGCTACCCAGAAAAGGTTCACGATGAAAGCTCGTTATCTCCGTGCAGGTACAATGTGAAGCTAATTTATCTCTCTGAGGGATTTCTATTATTTGGTTGGATGAAAGAACATGGCTTTAGCTCGAACGCCAATCATCCCATTGGAGAGGATGTATCTAGAAATGTTAAGCAACAAATAAGAACATTTTAAAAAGGTTTATTTGCAATGTTAATATAGAATAAATGAATGTTCGGAAGATGAGTCTTTAAAAAAATATGGCTATTCTCAAATGATCCAAAAACGTGAATTCACTGATCAGTAACTCAACACATTCTTGACACCCCTCTCTTTTTTCAGACCTTTCGTAACTATCCGCTCTGAGTTTATACCGATCCCAACCCGACCTTTTAAACATCTTCAAACCACATTTCACCACAAAGTGACTCCCTTTAAAATTACTGTATAATGAAAAAAGTAACTACAGACCTGACAAGACATCCATGAAACGATGAAAGCTCATTATCTCCTCGCAGGTACAATGTGAAGCTAATTTTATGGTATGAGTGATATCTATTATTTGGTTGGATGAAAGAACATGTCTTCAGCTCGAACGCCAATCATCCCGTTGGAGAGGATGTCTAAAAGCATTTAAGGCTCTTTGTGTTCCTGAAGAGATGAGATGGAATTATGCGTCAGGGAAAATGTCTCAGATGGCACTCGACTTAAAAAGTGATCATGATGGGATTTTTCTTCCAGCGAAAGATGCCAACGATGAATAATCCTCTAATAGAAATAATTCACATACTAACCTTTTTATGTTGAAGTGAGCATATTTAGTCTGATCTGGAAAATATGTGTACTGCAGGGATTTGGGATTTGATGTAATGTTTCAAAGCCATTGCAACCCAAAAGTTCTAGATATCAGCTTTTCTCTGACTTGTAGAAGTAATGATGACTATTTTTGTTTCATCTTTCATTTTGAGTCAGTTTGTACTCGCTGAAAAGCATGCAAGCTCAGATGATTGCTTAAACTTGTTAAAGTAGTTTGCTATCAATGGTGTAATACATCTGGGATTGAACTGCATACAGCATAACATTTCATTTCTAAAGTTTAAATGCAGCCGAGATAATACATTCTGAACTACATGAATATCAATTAAATGTATACTGTACATATTTGAGTGGAGGTTTAAATCCAATCCAATTATCAAGCAAGTCAGGAGATAGCAAAACTACTTAAAACATCAAACAAAATGCTATGTTTTTCAATTTAAAACATATGTTGGCTGTTTTGTTTTGGGATCGCACACAGCCTGGACATATTTGTATCTTCTCACTAAAGATAAAGATCTTAATATCATAAAAAAACTAAAAAGTCTATCAACAAATTGATACCAACCATGTCTCAATAACTTGTCAAGAAGTGCATTAAAATGTGCCTTCAAATTAGGCTAAATTGAGAGGACAAGAAATGAGGCAAAAGGATAAATCCAAATAATGAATTGCTGTCAAAATTATCCCGCTAGCATCCAGAGATCCTCATATCATATAAACCTAGAAAATAAGACAACAAATAGATACCAACACATTTCTTATTGGCTTTTCTAGAAGTGCAATTAGAGACTCTCCAAAGTTGAGGCTGATTACTGTTGGGCAAGGTTGCCAGAAATAAAATGCAAATTACAAAATCCAAGTATTCCATTCCTGTCAAAAAGTTCCTCAAAAGACTTTCAAAGTTAGACAATCTTTCTGTTAGACTCTGTATGATTCATAGCCTCGATGGACTTTTCTTAAGCTGGAGTGAAGACCCTGATATTGTCTGAAAATAGAAAGTCCAACAACAAATTGATACCAACCATGTCCAATTGGCGTGTCGAGAAGTGCACAAAAGATTCTCCAAAGAAGAGGATGTTTTATGTCAAGAAGAAATTGCTTTGAAACACAGAAGTCAATCAGATCAGATTGTATATATTGTATAGCCACTAATGCACCACGAAGCTTGATATTGGAGATGGAAATCTATTCGTTATTAGGTTTTTATTCTACCTCCTGAATTACAATGCAGATTTTTTGCAAAGGCTGTGGTTCTGGCTCTCTCAAATGGTTAAACACCAATACAATGTGTAGCTTAAGTTGGGTAAGGAGGCAGGAAAATACGTCTAGAAGTGACTCAAGAAATGTTCAAAGTTAGGCTGTTTTTTCTGTATTTTCTCAATCGATTTACTATTATCATATTTTACTTATTTTCCCTTCTTCCTTGCCTTTCTATAATTGAATTATGTGTGTTTCAGTGACGGGAGATGCTAAAGACATCGACTGGTATCCCCCCAATGACATAGAAATAATAAAAGTGTCCCGCTAGCTCGTCTAGAAGTGACTCAAAAGACGTTCAAAGTTAGGCTGTGTTTTCTGTAAGGCTCGCAGGATTACACAAAGCTTCAATCAACTTAAATGTTATGATATATATTGCAGCTCTGGACGTCCTTTCCTTTCTTCCTTGCCTCACTATCATTTCATTCTGTGTGTTTCAGTGACGGGAGATGCTAAAGACATCGACTGGTACTCCCCCAGTGGAGAGAAGATCCTTCCCAACAGGCCGGACATCATCGTGAGCCGCGGAGATGAAACCATGTCCACGCTCACCATCTACCACGCCAACGTGGACAGCGCCGGCATCTACAAGTGTGTCGCCAAGAACGGAGACAAGGAGGCGCAGGCTACGGTGCAAGTGAAGATCTTCCGTAAGTCTCAGCTTTATTAAACTCATGTGCAACAATACAGAAATAGCATTATGAGAAAACAGTTTTCAGAGCATTTTTGTAATTAACATTGGAGGAAAACACAGGAAACAACAGACGCCCTCACAGCAATTACTGCAGACCTCACTCCGTCTCCAGAAATTACCCTTTTTGTTTCCACTAATTGGTTTTGATAGCTACTTCCTTTGGGTTTTTATCCAGGCAGCAAAGAACATTTAGTATAATTTAGATATAATTCATTGTGTGACTTCTCCGGTATGTTTTGAGAAGCTTAATCTATTACTTAAACATACTTTTCAGACCCGTTGTTAAGATAAGACTCAAGGGTTTGCTTTTATGGGTTTATATTTGCAGGCAAGACAACTTCTTATAAACTATGCATTTCTTTATGAGTGATAGATTTATGAGATGCTTAAACACTTAAGAGGAAGGATGTTACAGCTTTGGTCAGTGAGGTTAACACTTAAAGAAATACAGCATCCATTTAGGGCTGTAAAATGTGAAAAGAAACTACTACTTACATTATATTTACTGATACTGCAATTGCGATATGATTTTCAAAATCAGAGGGAATCATCATTTTGTAAATATTATATCCAAATAATATAAAAATGTTCAAAGTTAGATGTTTTTTGGGAGGATTTATACCGAACCGGGTTTTTTTTATTAAGCCTGTAGAATTCAGTTTGTAGTCCAGGACTTCCTTTCAGCTCCAAAATACTTTTCCCATATTTCGCATCTTCCAAATGTTGTTATTCCTGCGGTTCGGATATTGCATATAGTCCATGTTCAGATTTTGATAAAATGTCCATTTATTTTTATTTCGGATTACTTGTTTTTTTAATTCACATTCCAGTCTACTTTTAGAGGAATTGTCTAACCTGCCTACCTACCTTAATTACTTTAACACTTAACAGTCAACCATACTTTAAGCAATCTACAAAAGGTTCCCAGTGTCCGTGTGAAAGGTTAAGTATTTATAAAGGTGTGTGATGTATGCCCTCCTCTCTACAGAAAAGATCACCTTTGAGAGCGCCCCCAGCCCTCAGGAGTTTAACGAAGGCGATGACGCGGCCATCGTCTGCAACGTGATCAGCTCTCCTCCTCCCAGCATCATCTGGAAACACAAAGGCTCCAAGATCCAGGCTGCCAAAGACGGTGAGCCCAATTCAGACAAAAAGCTGCTTCCTCACCTTCAACCTTCCTCCCCTCTATCTCTTACCCTCACTCCCTCTGAGCACTCACCCTTTTCCCTTCTGCCAATGCTGTCTGCCAGGTCATGCTTTCCAATCAATTTGCCCCAGTATTCCTCGTTTCCTTCTCCTGTTGCCCTTCATCTTTGAACAAAGCCATGCGTTTGCAGCAGGGGAGCTTAAGACCTCAAAGATGATGCACTAACAGGGGAAATGGTCTCTTCTTGGCCCAGAATGAGGTGGTTATGAATGAGAACAGATTGGAGCTGCCCAAGTAGAGGGAGAGCTACTCAGGAGGGGGAAGTAATGTGGAAATATGATAGAGAACATAGGGAGCTGAAAACCCTGAAATTACTTTTAGCACTTCCTATTCACTCGTCTTAAAATCAATGTTTTTTGGAAGTGTTTTTTTGTAAGAAGCCTGAAATAAGATCTGTGGTTAACAGAAGCTGAAGGAATTTTTATATAAAATACATCAGTAAATATCCCATTGGGTCATGTAAGTTGCTAACAAGTGTCTAAATGAGACGACTTAACGTCATCACGCATTAGCGCATTAGCACATTAGCCACCTTTAGCTTAGCGGTGGTGACGTGAAGTCATGTGACCGTGCTGTAGTTCCTTTATAGCCCAACATTAGCCACCTTTAGCTTAGCGGTGGTGACGTGAAGTCATGTGACCGTGCTATAGTTCCTTTATAGCCCAACATTAGCCACCTTTAGCTTAGCAGTGGTGACGTGAAGTCATGTGACCGTGCTATAGTTCCTTTATAGCCCAACATTAGCCACCTTTAGCTTAGCAGTGGTGACGTGAAGTCATGTGACCGTGCTATAGTTCCTTTATAGCCCAACATTAGCCACCTTTAGCTTAGCGGTGGTGACGTGAAGTCATGTGACCGTGCTATAGTTCCTTTATAGCCCAACATTAGCCACCTTTAGCTTAGCAGTGGTGACGTGAAGTCATGTGACCGCGCTGTAGTTCCTTTATAGCCCAACATTAGCCACCTTTAGCTTAGCGGTGGTGACGTGAAGTCATGTGACCGCGCTGTAGTTCCTTTATAGCCCAACATTAGCCACCTTTAGCTTAGCGGTGGTGACGTGAAGTCATGTGACCGCGCTGTAGTTCCTTTATAGCCCAACATTAGCCGCCTTTAGCTTAGCGCTGGTGACGTGAAGTCATGTGACCGTGCTGTAGTTCCTTTATAGCCCAACATTAGCCTCCTTTAGCTTAGCGGTGGTGACGTGAAGTCATGTGACCGTGCTGTAGTTCCTTTATAGCCCAACATTAGCCACCTTTAGCTTAGCGGTGGTGACGTGAAGTCATGTGACCGTGCTGTAGTTCCTTTATAGCCCAACATTAGCCGCCTTTAGCTTAGCGGTGGTGACGTGAAGTCATGTGACTGTGCTGTATTTCCTTTATAGCCCAACATTAGCCACCTTTAGCTTAGCGCTGGTGACGTGAAGTCATGTGACCGTGCTGTATTTCCTTTATAGCCCAACATTAGCCGCCTTTAGCTTAGCGCTGGTGACGTGAAGTCATGTGACCGTGCTGTAGTTCCTTTATAGCCCAACATTAGCCGCCTTTAGCTTAGCGGTGGTGACGTGAAGTCATGTGACCGTGATGAAGTTCCTTTATAAGCTGTAAGCATCATAAAAGTTTGTTTGAAACAGAGCTTAATTTTAGCAATACATCAAAATCCACTGAAACAGTCCCATTGGTCTCTTGTGGAGGGAACCAGGGAGCTGCTCACTTTATTGTCAGACTACAAAACTACTTCATCCCTGCAGCTTTATATTGACGACAGAGCAGCTCACCTCAAAAAAAGTTCAACTCAACTTCAGTCTGCTGTCTCAGCACTGAGGTGGAAATAATGTAGTTTTACTCTTGGTCTGGGCCTGTTTTCACCCCACAGTGACCCCTCCCTCAGTGACCCCCCCCCCCCGCTGCAGTCACCACAGCGTTGCACTCGAACCGCCTTTATTCTTGGACTCGGGTCAAGGAATGTGTTTTTCTCTGGAAAAACCACTAATTGTGACCGACAGTGAAGAACTGAAGCCTGCTGGTGTCGTTTTCTTCTCGGCACTTGACCTTAACTCACGCTGCAGATTTAACTGTTAAAGCATCCCAACTTAGTCATTTAAAGTGTTAACGTAACACAAAGTAGAAATTGATCAAATGTAAAGCTCTCAACACCAAGTCATCGAAAAGACTTAAAATATTTTGACTATTTTTTCACTTGCTTTATTTCTTTATTTTTATTTTTTACATACATTTTAAATGATTTTTTCTACTTTTCTTTAGATTAATATTATCATTTAATTATTATTATTTTATTTTTTATATGTTTTGATCTAGCAGGGACAGTGCACATTAATGAATATTACTGTAAATACACCAGAGTTAACCAAGAGCCTTTTTTTCATCTGTACCTGCAACAGATGTTTAAAGGTCACCCTAAAAACAAATTAAATATAAAATAACAAGTCAATACAATTATTAAAAACATAGAGGTTCACTATACTGTTAATCTTACGTGTATGCAGACAGTAAAACAGTTGTAGGAAATAATACATGTTAAATATGAATGTTAAATATGAATGTTTAATTCCTACAAGATAAGTTAATATCCTGCATTTTAACATTTTACTCAAGCAGCTAAATGTAATCAGGAAGAAGTACTCCTCGCGCATAATGTGCCCTTATTAGTGATGATTAAAAATGAAACAGAATTGTAATGTTGTTGCTTGTGAAGGCTAATTTTATCTAATTAAATATAGCTGTCAAATGAATAATATTTGGAAACGTACCTGAGTAGAAGGCAGAAAATGAAGTTATACAAAATATATGTAGTTAGTTACAGTAAATATACAAAAAATACTTTAAATACTGTAGCGTTAGTTAGTGATGAAAACCAGAGCCCAGTCTGCTCTGATTGGTTAGCTGGCCGGCTCTGTTGTGATTGGTCAACCACTTGGTGATGTCCCGCCCCTTTGCCTATCACGTACAATGTGTTGGAGCACTAGTCAATAGGAGCGTGAGTGTTACATAATGATGTCACTATGTTCTGGAAGTAAACACAGGAGTCCCAAAATCACAGGGCCTCTTTAACAGATCATTTAAACAGAATTGAAATGTGTTGCTAATACAGGTGGAGCTATGTTTTGTTAATTAGATATACCTGTCAGATAAAGGACTGTATGAGCCTCTGAAGAAAGAGTAAAATAGACGGAATCAGTGAGAGAAAAGTGTATATAAGTTCAGTAAATGTACTTGTATAATACTGCAGTATAGTCCTAATAGCTGAGGTGGAGGTGTTTGTGCAATAAAAATCTCAAAATTACGGGAAGAAAATGTTTCCCTTTGTCTCGCTAATATCCTTTCTAGCACCCTGTACATAATTATCTGCATCAAGTGATTTTATAGCACACAGGCTCGGTGGGCTTCTCCGTTAAATAGCAGGAGAAAATGAAAACTTGTAACCTCTCAGCAGGCAAATTAAAGTGTAGAGGCTAAACAAGTGCCCCCTAAACACCCCCCATTTTAAATCCAGTGAGTACACACCGGCTAGACATGTGGAAGAGGTGCTTTAGTTTACTAAATTAGGACATAGAAAGAACAGTGTGTGTGTGTGTGTGTGTGTGTGTGTGTGTGTGTGTGTGTGTGTGTGTGTGTGTGTGTGTGTGTGTGTGTGTATGTGTATGTGTGTGTGTGTGTGTGTGTGTGTGTGTGTGTGTGTGTGTATGTGTATGTGTATGTGTATGTGTGTGTGTGTGTGTGTGTGTGTGTGTGTGTGTGTGTGTGTGTGTGTATGTGTATGTGTGTGTGTATGTGTGTTGTGTGTGTGTGTAGTTGTATGTGTATGTGTATGTGTATGTATGTGTGTGTGTGTGTGTGTGTGTGTGTGTGTGTGTGTCAGAGTTTTAACAATGTGCTGGATGAAACACCAGGCTCCGGTTTAAACAGCTCTGTGTGTGTGTGTGTGTGTGCGTGTGTGTGTGTGTGTGTGTGTGTGTGTGTGTGTGTGTGTATGTGTGTGTGTGTGTGTGTCAGAGTTTTAACAATGTGCTGGATGAAACACCGGGCTCCGGTTTAAACAGCTCTGTGTGTTTGTGGCGGCTTTAATTAGAGGAGCACCAGTAAGTCAGGCGGCAGCGTGGTTCATGCAGGGTTGATTACCGGGGATAATTAGGGTGTTTTAATCTGCCTCCAACTTCCTGTCTGAGCCTTTAAATGAAGGATTTCACTCATAAAAGGGTCCTCTTGAACTTGAGTTGTTTGCCCACAGTGAGTTAATTGAGTATGATTTGTGCAAAACAAGGATTTGAAACATATATATGTATGTACTTCTTCTACTAGGATGGGTTGAATGCAGAGACTAAATGTTCACTGTGTGTGACAATTGAAGAGGGTTTCTTACAACACCTCCATTTCCATTTTCCATTTAAACAAAAATCAATAAATACTGTTGAACAAACAACTGTACATGTTACATGTATTCTCACATTTCAGATGTATCCACTGCATACAGTATGGTGCTCCATGCAGTCTTTAACTGGCTTTAAACTGGGAAAAATACAGTATATTAAGCATTAAACACACTATTTTAAACAAAAAAACAATGATGAATCTAACAAGTATGCCATGTTTAATTATTATTATCTTTAATACAAGAGGCATGAAGAGATTCTTACATAAATACACTTATTTTAACTTCATTTATCCAAGTTTCTGGACATTATTTTGAAACATATTGTAATATTATCGTATTACAATAAGATTAGCGGCAAATACTACACCTCAGGTAACATCAATCAAAAAGTAATACATGCACTATCTTATTGGCTGATCTAACAATAACAATATAATGAAATAAATCCAATTAATAAGAGAAATTAAACATTATAATTTGTGTTGTTGGGTGTGTGTGTGTGTGTGTGTGTGTGTGTGTGTGTGTGTGTGTGTGTGTGTGTGTGTGTGTGTGTGTGTGTGTGTGTGTGTGTGTGTGTGTGTGTGTGTGTGTGTGTGTGTGTGTGGTGTGTGGTGTGTGTGTGTGTGTGTGTTTAATCTGAATAATCTTGATGAACGACGGTCCCGTTTGCCTCTCCTGTTGCAGTGAGATTTAAGATCCTGGATAACGGCCACCTGCAGATCCGCGGCATCAAGAAGATCGATGAGGGCATGTACAACTGCGAGGCGAGAGTCATGGCCCGCGGAGAGATCGACTTCAAGATGATCAAGGTCGTCGTTAATGGTGAGAATTCGTCTGTTTCACCTCGTGTTAAACATAGTACAGAATACAGGAAGGGCAACCATCAAAATGCTCTTTTTAATAAACCTTAAACCAGCCAATGATAAGGATGAGTACATCAATTCATCTGCAACTCTTCGCTCAAGAGCAACATATCAAATACAGAAGGTTTCTATTCATGTTTATTTCTTTTTTATATATATTTCTTTTCAAAATTCAAAAAATAATAATAATAATTTGTATTTATTTATTACATTGTCTTTTTTTTACTTTTTAACATTATCATATTTTGTATTTTATTTGTATTTAATTATTTATTATTTATTACATTGTATTTCCTACCATCAAAATGCTCTTTTTCAATTCTTAAACCAGCAAATGATAATGATTTGTATTTCCTCCTGTGTATCAACCACTGATACATTTTACATTTTGATCTCCTCTCCCTCAGTGCTCCCCACCATCAGGGCGAGGGTCTCCGATGTGAACGCCACCGCAGACAACTCTGCCTCCGCCCTGCTGGCCTGCGACGCCGACGGCTTCCCCGAACCCACCGTCACCTGGGCACAGTACGACACACACACACACACACACACACACACACACACACACACACACACACACACACACACACACACACACACACACACACACACACACACATACCATGCATACATCACTTCAGGGGACATTACATTGACTTACATGCATCTCCTGGAGACTTATTCTAACCTTAACCAAGTCTTCACCATAAAATGAATGATTCCCATAGTAATGCTAGGCCACACACACACACACACACACACACACACACACACACACACACACACACACACACACACACACACACACACACACACACACACACACACCTGAGCTGCACACACTAATATACTGTATCTCTGAGCTGTTGTCCTCAAGTGGAAACATAATGTTAAGTAAACACGTGAAGAAGAATTAATTAGAAAACGATGCATAACATCAGACAAACATAAAACTGAATAATACCACGGTATACATTTTTTTAATGATCCTCATTTCACATAAAAAAGATATGATCGCAGGTCAGTTTTTTAAAGAATGTATTCAATCAATGCGTATCTTCTATTTTTTTATGAGAAATACTCGGTATATATAATTTGAATCTAAAAAAAATGTTAAAACGTAATTTCGGGTGTTAGTTTAGTAGTTTTGAATATTGAAAATGTAAATACAATTAATAATCCTATTGGTTATATTGTTAAAGATCACTACACTAAAAGAGCCAAATTAAACATTGTAATAACGTGTTTAGTGCCCTCTGTCTCCGGCTGCTGGACACGGTGACAACGTGCAGAAACACAGAAGATCAGACATGTAGAGAATGTGTCTTCAACTTTGACTTTGTGAGAAAAATCAGGATACTGAATACACAAAAAGAAAAATAAGATCCTCTGAAGACCAGCTGTGACATCGAAATATCAAGTGTTTAATGAAGTTATGTTAAAACAACGAGTTATTTAAAAATACAATTTAAACATGAAAGCATTTTTTAACATACAAATACGTTAATGCTGCGTATGCAAGGCAGCTATTTGGTTCAAACACATCAGAACTCCTGTAGGGAGGAAACTCTGGAGAACAACGTTTGAATTACTTTAAATGATAAAACATGTAAATACGTCTCCAAAAAAGAAAGCTGATATGATCACACACCTGTCCAAAGAATAATAATGTTACGCTTTTTTACATTGTTCTTTCAGCCAAGGACACACAGTATTATTTATCATACTTATTAAAATACATGTAAACACAGCTGTGCTCCAAAAACGGAAAACTATCACTTCCTCTTTTGCATAAATTCAACCTTCGGATTATGACTGATACAAAATATGTAAACTTGAGTCTTTCCAGCGTTACTTTCTGCCTACATCCTGTTTGAGGACCCTTTGATAGGACAAACACAACATCACCACTTCCTGGAGATGTTGTTGTGATGTGTTTGTAAATATCCCATTAATATGAATGAGGACGGCCTGGCCTGCAGAGACGATGAGATGTACATTCACTTCCACACGGAAACAAGAGAGCCTCTCACACACTACTTAACATGCATTGATCTGAGTGGTTACACACACACACGCACACACACACACACACACACACACACACACACACACACGCACACACACACACACACACACACACACACACACACACACGCACACATACACAGACCTGAAGTGCACTGAGCAAATATGAGATTAAACTGCTATATGGCGGAGTAGAACAACAAATAGAATACAGATAGGCTCGAGGCATTCAAATGAAATGAATACAAATATGTACTTTACGCTCAGACCTTTGGATGAATGAACTTATGTTGGGGATAATATATATATATTATATATATATATTGAATAATTAAGACTCACAAATTCAGATCTGAAATGAGCTTTTGTTGGCAATGAAGGCAAGAACTATAATAATTGTTCACCACCTGTAAATAAAGTAAAGTAAAATGTCTTTTGAAAGCTAAAATAAAATATAATAAAATTAAAAATATGTATATAAACATAAGAAGTTAAAGGTGGGGTAGGTAAGTTTGAGAAACCGGCTCGAGATACACTTGTTGTTATATTCCATGGAATGCTCTTAACATCCTGATAGCAATGAATATCTGAAGTGCTTTGACAACAAATCCATAATAAAATATCATCTGTGGAAGCCGTAGTACTGTAAAAAGCACGACCAATCATCTGAGCCGGCCCGGCTAAAATAACTGGATGGCCTACCTGCCTGTCAGCCTTCCATCTGTGCACAAACTTATCTCGTGCCCTCATTGGTCATGTGCACGTTCGTGTGTGTTGGAGGAGGGGCTCTGTAAGGAAGTGGGAGATTTTTTCCGGTTGTGTATTTTCAAATTCTAGCACACTCGAGCTGGTTTCTCCAAAATGACCTACCCTACCTTTAAAGTAAAATGTGTAATAAAATATGTAATGCCTCGCGTTGTGATGGATTTGCCGTAAACTGGTTTTAAGTATGCACTATTGAAGCCTCATCTCCACAACATCAATGTCTCTTCATGCAGCTGTTTGCTTTAAGTACTTTCACATTCAAACAGCAGCCCCCCCGCTGTGCAGAGCAATCTGTGAATGAAACCCAGCTGATATAAGAGTGAGGAAGCCTTTAAGAAGGGATGCTGAAGGCAGGAGTGAGATGTGTGTGTTGGGGAAGCTGGTCTGAACAGAGTGGAGGTTGTAGGGAGGACAGAAGAAAAACAGAGGGCTTAAACTTGTTACTTGTCATTCCCTGTCTGTCTGCAAACCGCCTCAGGAAGCCTTCCTCTTCTCCAGGAACACAAACCGGAGTGTAACCTCTGTGAAGCTTCTGCCTCTCAAGAGTGAAAGAAAACAGGAAACAACATGCATCATGATCACAGAGCGGCGCAGGGATGATGTATTGTTGGAGTACGACCCTGAAGTTAGCATCTCCCTCGTTCACTCCACAAAAAGATAGGATTTTTCTATTGGATTTTGGATTATCACAGAAAATAAGCTCTGCTGCAAAACGTTTTTTTATTCAAGCGTGTTTTGTTCAGCAGGATCATCTTCAGATATTAACACCACTTGATGATTTTTGAAGTGAAAAGCTAACGTTGGGCTATAAAGGAACTACAGCACGGTCACATGACTTCACATCACCACCGCTAAGCTAAAGGTGGCTAATGTTGGGCTATAAAGGAACTACAGCACGGTCACATGACTTCACGTTACCACCGCTAAGCTAAAGGTGGCTAATGGTGGGCTATAAAGGAACTACAGCACGGTCACATGACTTCACGTCACCACCGCTAAGCTAAAGGTGGCTAATGGTGGGCTATAAAGGAACTACAGCACGGTCACATGACTTCACGTCACCACCGCTAAGCTAAAGGTGGCTAATGTTGGGCTATAAAGGAACTACAGCACGGTCACATGACTTCACGTCACCACCGCTAAGCTAAAGGTGGCTAATGTTGGGCTATAAAGGAACTACAGCACGGTCACATGACTTCACGTCACCACCGCTAAGCTAAAGGTGGCTAATGTTGGGCTATAAAGGAACTACAGCACGGTCACATGACTTCACGTCACCACCGCTAAGCTAAAGGTGGCTAATGTTGGGCTATAAAGGAACTACAGCACGGTCACATGACTTCACGTCACCACCGCTAAGCTAAAGGAGGCTAATGTTGGGCTATAAAGGAACTACAGCACGGTCACATGACTTCACGTCACCACCGCTAAGCTAAAGGAGGCTAATGTTGGGCTATAAAGGAACTACAGCACGGTCACATGACTTCACGCAACACAGTCTCACGGCATTTCGTGTTATAGTCACGAAATTAATCTATTGATCGGTGTTCACCAACACGATTTCCCTTTTTTTTTTTCGTGTCACACAGAACGATTTTAATAGCAATGTAAATAATAACAAATTAGAAGGAAAAAAATATTTAAAAAAATACAGATGTCAGTATTCTGAGGCTCTGAGCCATTTCTTTTCCTCGCCGTCGACAAAAAAAGTCCGACATTATACAATTTAAAATAAAAACAATAATCGTGGCTTGATATTGAGTAAGAAAATGTTTTTATGAACCACACAGCTTCCGGTCTTCCGGACAAAAAGACGTGTTGCAGGCACGAAACATACTACCAATAGAAATACATTGCTTTTAAAATCGTTCTGTGTGACACGAAAAAAATGCGAAAATCGTGTTGGTGAACACGAATCAATAGATTACATTTATTTCGTGACTAATAACACGAAATGCCGTGAGACTGGGTTGCTTCACGTCACCACCGCTAAGCTAAAGGCGGCTAATGTTGGTTGTGATGGCGTCTCATTTAGACACTTGTTAGCCACCGCATTTTTTGTATTCACCAGTGGGGCATTTACTACATATTTTAAGTCGTAGAACACAATCTCTTCAGTTTGGGTTTAATTACAGACCTTATTTAAAGCTAACAACCAAACACACTTTCAAAAACGTCCAGATGATGGAACAGGAAGCGTTAAAATGCTAACTCCTCTCTGGGTTTAGGACTCATGAAAACACAGTTGAGGACTAAAGGAGAGCTGAGGCAAGCTCAAGCTTTTATCAGAGGACAGGACTTGTTTGCTCTCCTTGCCTTTGTTGTATAGCAGATAAACCCCCCAACAGATCATTGTCAGCGAGTAAAGAAAGTTATTTGAACGTCCTTTCAAGTTGTGTAAGCAAACCCTCGTGATGTGAACCTCAACATGTCTTCTTCCTCTGTTTCCCTCCGCTACAGTAACAACATCGTCCTTGAAACCGGCGATAAGTACAGCCTGAACGAGGATGGTTCTGAATTGGTAATAAAAGATGTCAAGAAAGTGGATGAAGGAGATTACACTTGCATCGCCAAGAACAAGGCGGGAGAGAAATCCGAGGAAGTGAGCCTGAACGTGTTCGGTAAGAGAATAACTCTTTCTGGCCTTTTCTTTTGACATTTGTTGTACAGCTTTCTCCTGACTCTGAGAGCAGAGCTACACAGCGTGAAGCATACAGTTTAAAGAGACGTGAGCCCTATTGGAAACTAATTACGCCAGTCCTTAGGACATTGAGAGATATCTCAGAACTCTCTCTCCTCCAGGAACTCTGCACCGTATGTAATCAGACGCTCGCAGCTCTATTAAAGGTCAATGGTGTATGAAAACACAACTCAAATTAAGCCTGTATGTTTTACACTTGGCTGTTAATACTGGGCCTTTAAAGCCACTTTAATACATATTTGCAACAGATCAATTGAATCAATTATGTACAGGATGTCACCCATGAGAAACATCTGCAAATGATCAGCCTTTCTGCGTGTTAGCTTCTTTTAGCTGGTTGTTTTGTTTGAACACAAACTGCACTATTATCAACCTTGCTATATCCTTCTTTCTTTCTTTTTTTAAACAAAATATAATAATAAAACAATTCTTTGAAGCACTTAAATGGTTTGGCCGAGTTGAAGCTTTGCAGTTTTCTTACCCGGTTTGTTTCTTCATGGTTGATTCGAGTCATTGTAAGTTGCTTCAGATAAAACTCCTCAGCCAAATGTAATGTCATTTCTGTAACGAACTGAAAACTAGCCGTTAAAGTAAGCTGAAGATGAGTTTAGGAGCTATCTCTGTTTCCTCCGGGGTAGAGACCAAAAGTATATCAGGTTCTTTTTTTAATCAAATATAATAATAAAACAAGTCTCATTCATTTTTGAAGCACTTGAGTGGTTTGGCTAATTTGAGTTTGTCTCCTCATGGTTGATTCCCGTTATTGTAAGTTGCTTTAGATAAAAACCCCTCAGCCAAATGTAATGTAATGTTGTAACAGACATTTTTGTTTGAAAACTAGCTGTTAAAGTAAGTTGAATATGAGTTTAGGAGCTAGCTGTGCTTCCTCCAGGGTTGGTAGAGACCAAACGTGAGCTTTCCATTACATGTTACTTGTAAGTCGACTTACATACTCAATACTGTGGGCAATCCCCACAGGAGCACTTTGGGGTGAAGTGTCTCAGGGACACAACGACATGCTGACTGCAGTGGGGTTTGAACCTGTGCTCCCTTGATCGAACACCAACGCTCTATCCACTGCGCCACACGCCTCCCCTCAAAAGAAAAATAAATGAAATGTACATTCCCCATGTTGTCAGATTAGCATTTGTTTGCTAACACGTCCATCCTTCATCCTTCATCTTGTTTCTAGTGCAACCCAAGATCACGTACCTGAGCAACCAGACGGCCTCAGAGTTCGATGAGCAGGTGACGCTGACCTGCGAGGCCTCAGGAGACCCCACCCCCTCCATCTCCTGGAGCTTCGAGACCCGCGTGTTCACCGAAGGAGAGCAGGTACTACTTCTTTACATTTTAAGCAACGTTTTTGGGGAAAATCTTTTTTTTTATTTCTTTTTTTTATTATTTATTCTACTATTTCAACAATTAGACAGTTTATAACATCAACAAAAAGTCACTTTTGGAATAGAAACACTGGATAGAAAGAACTATATTGCAATATCAGCACACAAAGTCGGATATAATTCACATTACTTTATTTCATATTTTTAAAACAAAGTCGGAATTTAAAGATTAAATTATTTAAAAAAACGGATCTCAAAATCCTTTTCACACGTGGCCCTAAACCTCAACTTTTTCAATACTGCTGGACTTAAATAATGTTGTATACAATACATAATACACATGACTTTATTTAATATTTCTAAAAGAAAGTCGGAATTTTAAGATTAAAGTCAGAATTACGACTTTCTTTAAAAAAAGAAATATCATTTTTGGTTTGTTCTCAAAACCCTTTTCACACATGGCCCTAAACCTTCAGTTCAATACTGCTGATCTTTTATAAATAATTTTAAATGAATGCAATTCCATGGTTTGATGTTCCCAAGCGTTGCTAACAGTGCTTCCTATTAATAATTAGCATTTGAAGGCTGTATTTTTGTACCATTACCATGAAAGTGCTCTTTGAAAATTCACCGAAAATGAAGTGTGAGTAAGTTCGAGGAAGAGAACAAATTATTTCAGTGAAATGACTGTAATTATTGCTGTTTGAAGCCAGAAAGCCGAAACGTCCCTCCGTCTGAAAATCAGATTGTTTTCAGCTGTGATAATCCACTCTGCACCGAAAATGAGCCGGCACTTTTTCTCAGGATGATTTAAGAAATGTTAAACCAAATTAGGGTTGTGCATTTTGTCCTGCTTTGACGTATATCCTCGTTCCTTCGTCATGGCCTTCAGCAGCTGTGCAGATAACGCTGGATTTAAGCTCTGGCTATACAACACGGTTAAAGGCTTCTTAAGAGCGATGAATACCGTCCTCCATGGCTCTGGTCACAGCTGCTGGAACACTCTCATTGTCCTGCTCTTATCAGCTCATTAAAATGCTATAATTTTTGGAGAAATCCATCTTAACGGTCCTGTTTTCCTGAATCCACGCATCATGAGAGCGGTGGACGGATTAGTCACTTCAGACGGGTAATTTCCAGCTGAGGATGCAGCAAACAGTATTAAGATAATTACCTCTCTGCAGCAGGATGGAGGATTCAGGAGCAACACCTCATATGAGAGGGCTTTATCTAGCTTTAGATACTGCAATAAATAATAATATATCTTAATATTATGAAGAAAAAGGAAGTTTGCAGGACAAATATATGCTACAGAGTCGCCAGGAACCCATAAGATTTGCAAAAAAACCTCCATATTTATATATTTATAGGCTTATTTTCCGCTAATACCCGTGCATATGGGTCAGTCTGTAATATGCCCTGCCAAAAATGCGTTTTATTTTTTATTTTTTAAGATGTTATTATTATTTATTTATTTATTTATTTATTTATTTATTATTCATTTATTTATTTGATTTATTTATTTATTTATTTATTATTCATTTATTTATTTGATTTATTTATTTATTCATTTATTTATTTTATTTTATTATTTATTATTATTTATTATTACTTAGTATTATTTATTATTACTTATTATTACTTATTTATTTATTATGATTATTTTGTATTGCTATTATTTTTATTATCATTATTATTATTAAATCTGCATGTTTTTCTACCTGAGTTCTGCTGACTAGTCTATATGTATATTTTTCCTTTTTAATGTAGAAAGTAACCATAATGAAATACAAAGCGTAAAATGTTAAAGTTTGACATTTACTTTTTATTTATTCACCTCCACACCTTCTCTCTGCTGCATTCATTTTCTCTCTTTTTTTTTAATGCAACCAATCTGCCAATGTGAAAGTGGTTACCCGGAGCCCCTGCCTCATATTAAATAACTCGGCTCTGGTGCAGCTGTTAGAAATGAAATGCACATAACAATAGGAGAGTTATTCTGGGATGCAGATGCAGTGAAGCTTCAGAGCACCTGTCCCACAGCGGGACTCAGTATTTGGGCCACCGTGCCCTACTTTACAGCTGTGTGATGAATAATGTAACATCAACTATGTTACTGTGAGATGAAGCATGCTACGACAACTAAAAATAGCACGGTCAGAACATCATGTCCTTTCCACATGTGTGTGTTATAAGAAAATCCATAAGGATCAATGAGGCTGGTGTTCATCTGTGTTTCTCTGATAGCACTTCACAATTAATTGCTTTTATAAAAAATCCCGACACGGACTAGTGCATTATACAAGAGGAATGTTTGGTTAAGCTAAAATATGTGAAGATATCTGATTGAATTATTGTGGAGCTGCAGAGAAGTCCCAACGTTCGACAGACTTCATCAGAAATCCTTGTTTGGTTCAGATCGCCTTCAAATAATCACACTATTACCATTTAAATACACTTTTAATGACAATATGACTAATGTACCACAAACCACAAATCATTATGCAATTGTAATATGAGTCAATATAATGGCATTGGGAAGCGCTCCAGCACGAGACCTATTTGAACATTAAAACATAGAGACACAAAATACACATTTGAAACCTGGAAATTGGCATAAAATAGCCCATTTTTGTCAAATGTACTTCTTACGATATAAATAGAGGTCTATGGCACAGTGTGTATATTATATAACGCTCTCGCTGCACAAGCAACCCTTGTTAAGGTTAAAAAAAAGCAAATATTAGACACGGCTTAAATGCTCTTAATGTTAAGAGTGGGCACAAATACATTTGCCCTGAGGCTCAGATGCATTTGCATAAGTCGAACATTTTTCAGCTTGGGTGAAATTACAAACTTATCCCAAAGCTCTAAGAGTCCAGTTTATAAATATAAGGAAAGCGGGAAATAAAGAGTCTCCAGAGAGAAATAGCGAGGGGACATTTTGTGATCAGGTGGAGAATAACACGTTTTACTGTCAGTGGAATTTTCTATTTTATTGCATATTTTTACTTCTTAATTTTAAATATTCTAAGTCTGTTTTTCTATTCTTTAATTAGACATGTTTTACGTTATCATCTTATGTTTATAAACATATTCTTAGCATTCATATTTTCTTGCAAATTATAACCTTAAGTTTTTACGTTTAAACAAATATTCAACCTATATTTATAAAAATATTCTTTTTTTTCTCTTTTATTGCAGATGTTTACATTATCTTCTTATATCTATATCCAGGGGTGCACATAACTGGTACGCAGGTACGCATGCGCGGCAACAATCTGAAATGCGTACCGTAACTTGTGTCACAAAGCGCATTTGCGTACCGACGTACTTGTGAAGCTTTTCCAGAAGGCGGTTAGATCACCGGTCTCCGTGTGCTGTGCACAGACAGGGCTGCTGTTAATGTCGGTCTGTACAGCAGCCCTGCGCTAAAACAGCTGATCACAACGTTCACACGCTCCGCGGTCGCGAAGCTCTGTACTCCCCCCCCCCCCCCCCCCCCCCCCCCCCCGTTGACAATCGCGAAGCGCTGTACTCCACCCTGCCCCCCCCCCCGTTGACAATCGCCAGAAGTTGGAGTACCAAGCACTGACTCCAGGTACTCATCCGAGTACCTCACTGAGAAAGTTGTGTGCACCCCTGTCTATATCATTATTTGTATTAATTCATTAATTTGTATTAATTGAGTCATAAAACCTACTTCCCCCTGGCATAAATAAAATATTCTGATTCTGAAACAGCGAAAGCAATTGAACATCACGCTGACATTGAAGCGTATAAGTCACCATGAAACCATTAGAATTAATTAACCTTTTAAAATAAAGTTCACAAAACAACTCTGAGCGAGGACAGAGGAAATTAGGGACATTTCCAAAATGAGACGCACTGCTTTTACCTGACAAATGTCATTGATAAAGTACTTAACATTAATTCATTTCGCAAAGCAGAGCAGCCCAGACTTCTAGAGCTGAGTGTCGTTCCAAAAGTAAAAATACATACACAAATATTTTCATTTTTTTTCATGTCAGGAAATAGAAAACACACCGGCCTCTCGTTGAACATTTCTCAGATTCACCAGCTGTAGAGCGTCAGTGTTTGATAGCAACATTGCTTTCCTTCTAGCACATAACTTTTTCCTTTTACGACTTCTGATTGGGAAACTTCTCCGAGTGTTATCATCAGTATTATCCGTAGAGATCAGCTCCAGTATCCCCAGTTCTTCCCATTCCCTGAGCCATTTATCACTGCCAATCAGAGGAAGCATTCACACAGCGCGGTGCATTCACGGCTGTTTCCACTGAATCTTATTTTCCACCTGCAACACATGCCTATACCGTCCCAGATCTCAGTGTCCGAGAGTCTTCTTCCATTCACAGCCTGTCAGCGTGCCTCCCTCTGACTATCTATCACTGTCGGATCAGTTTTTAATTTAAAGCCGTGGTAATCAGAAAATCCCTCCGATCTTTGGGTAATAGCTGTCACTAATTTCTCACCGGACGGTCATTCATCATTGGCTCGTTCTCCACGCTCTGTCTTTCATTCACGTTCTATCTAGTTCTACATCAGACTACAAGGCATTTTCAAAAACATGTGAAATGATGGAAAAGCCTCTTTTCAAATTTGCCATCTTGTAAAAAAAGTGTAGCGGATGTTATCATTGTATCATCTCTTAAGAACCGACATGAGTGTGTGTGTGTATTCACACCATTATACAATCATGGCTACACACTTATTACTAAAGGTGGATAAGTGGAGGACACTGCTCGACATACACGAACAAGCTAATCAGAAACATTACCCCATGGTGAGAAAGACACTGATTTGAAAAGTGTTTAGATATGGGTAATGGCTAAATCATAATTATCTTTTCGTGCCCTTCCAAATGCGGCTGCGTCATTAATAAATAACCTCATGTTGCTTTAGGAAAAACCAGTTAAGCATTTTGACCAGCTCTTTAAACTCCCTGAATAAAATAAGCCAGTAATCCTA